ATCAAACACTGCACTATAGCCTGGGCAACAGAGTAAGATCTAGTCTCCAAAAAGAAAATATTAATACATGCATATTAATACATACATATCAATACATACGTACATAAATTTGGCCTAAAGCTACCTCTGTAAATAGTTAGCTGCAACCTAAGTTAGTATATAAACAAGATGTAACTTACCAAGAGTGCATTCTTATAACAAATAGCCAATCATAACAGCCAATAATCACAAGCTGCAAACTGCTCATACATGTCCAAATAAAGCAACTGCCAAAGTACAATCAATGTGGCTATTACTGTATGTCACCTCCTTTTTCTGTCTGTAAATACCACCTGCCTATGTTCCTGGGTGGAGCTTTCTGAACCTTTACTGGTTCAGGGTGCTGCCTGATTCATGAATCCTTTCTTTGATCAAACAAACTCTACAAAATTTAACTTGTTTAAAGTTTTTCTTTCAATAAAATCCAAGAGCGAGTATTTAAAAATTAGAGCAAAGCCAGGCACAGTGGCCTATAATCCTAGCACTCTAGGAGGCTGAGGCAGCTGAATTGCTTGAGCTTATGAGTTCAAGACCAGCCTAAGGAAAAGTGAGACCTCCATCACTACTAAAAATAGAAAAACGGAGGCAAAAGGATTGCTTGAGCCTAAGAGTTGGAGGTTGCTGTAAGCTAACATGCCATGGCACTCGACCCAAGGCAATAGCTTGAGACTTTGTCTCCAAAATAAATAAATAAATAAATATTATTTTGTTTCTGTGGCTATCGGGAACCGGCTGGGCAAAACCGCCCCAGAGGCATGACGCTCTTCAGAGTTCTAAAAAAAATAAATAAATAAAAATAAAAATTAGAGCAACAAGGCCAGGTGGCTCACACCTGTAATCCTAGCACTCTGGGAGGCCAAGGTGGGTGGATCACCTGAGCCCATGAGTTCAAGACCAGCCTGAGCCAGATTGAGACCTCATCTCTAAAAATAGCCAGGTATTGTGGCAGGCACCTATAGTCCTAGCTACTTGGGAGGCTGAGGCAAGAGAATTGCTTGAGCCAAAAAGTTTGAGGTTGCTGTGAGCTGTGATGCCACAGCACTCTACTGAGGGTGACAAAGTGAAACTCTATCTCAACAACAAAAAAAAAAAATTAGAGCAAGTCTAAACACTGTAGTGCCACAGGGAGCAAACCTGGAAGGTGTGTGTTAGTAACCCGTTTTCCTTTGTTCATCAAAAACAAAATAAAACAAAAGCAAAAAACAGCAGCCTCCTACACTATCTAGAGCACTGCACAGTTGGCCCCCCATATCCAAATCCATGGATTCCACCAACCTCAAATCAAAAATATCCCCCTAAGAAAGATAAAGTAAAAAAAACAATACAACAATAAAAAATACAAATAAAAACCAAATCAGTATAACAATTATCTATACTGCATTTACTACACTATATACGTTTACTAGGTATTATAAATAATCTGAGATTATATAAAATATATGGGAAGGCATGCATAGGTTATATGCAAACACTTCTTCATTTTATATCAGGGACTTGAGCATCCACAGATTTTGTTATCTGCAGGGGAATCCTGGAACCAATGCCCCACAGATATCAAGGGACAATTGTATAGAGAAAGGCATTGAGCAAAGGCAACATCATTTCAAACTCTGATAAAGCCCCAGAATACCGAGATTCCAATCTGGTCATAGGTTTGGAGCATAAGTACAGCCCTGTTTTGATAATAGGGAGATAAGCAAGTTCAGACAGCCCCAAGACTCCCTGGTCAATCCTCAGGCAGGGAGAGAGGCCCTGCCCACTGCGGGTACAAGGTGCCAGGAGGGCAACGAGGTGGCCGGTCTGGACAAAGAGTCTCAGGAATCAGGAAAGTCGAGTCAAAATCAGCATCTAGAGGGTTCAGGGGCAGGTTGAGCCTCACACCCAAGTGAGAAGCCTGGAAATCCCCGGAGGTGAGAGAATATTACTTTCATCTACCTCTTCTGGAACAGATTCTACAGTCACCTGTGCACACCCACATCTGAAGGACACTTGTGTCTGATGTTACCAATGACTGCAACTTTTCTTCACTGTGGCCCGGCTGTTTCCCTGGAGCTTTTTCTGATACCATCAAAGTTAACCAAGATAATTTACACAGCACTCCTTAAACAAATGGCCACAGACAGAAAAGGTATGCATAGGGAAGGGTGGGAGAGAGGGAGTAACAGTATCAGGCAAACTCATTTCAGATCCCATATATATATGGAG